TTCTTAGTCCCCCTCACAGTTACTACTGACAATCTTCGAAGTATGAGCTTACCTATTCTTAGAATCCAGGTTACTAGGCTTAATAATTTTATCTATTTTGAGCGGTATTAACGTGTGAAATAATCTAATTAATGTTGACATGCACATATGTAGCGAGAAAATAGAACAACAGACATTTATGACTCAGTCTAGGTGGTGGTGGCTATCTACCCAAGAGTACTGGTAAGTCAAACATAGTTAACAGAAAGGAGGTGAAATTCATTGGTCGACAGTAAAATACGCATGCAAAAAAGGCTCATATATTTGTCACAAGTTTTCAGAAAGACTGCATATTTTCAAAGCTTCCTCCCATTTGACTGTAGTATCTGTGTCCTGTGATGTAAGCAGGAACTATCTAGACACTGCATGGCTACTGAAGAACTGGTTATCTTTGGAACATAACACGCAGTACGCTAACTAGTTTCATCAAACATTATTCGCTCTTACATACTTCAACAGTAGTTCTATGACGAAAAATTATTTCCTACCAGTTTGCCTCAGTTTAGATTCAACACAAACTTCTCTGCTGCAGGGAAAGTCAGAAATAGTAAAATATCTACATCTCATTCCTGAAATAAATTATTGAACTTTCAACATAGAACTTTGCACAAAAAAAATACCGAAGTTAAAGCTGACACATTTCATCGAAGAGAAATGGAAAGAAATGGGAGAGAGGACAATTACATGGAGAATCATGAGAAATTAATTGATTTGGTAGATTGCACGGAGTAAATCTATCCTCACCACCGGGAATGATTATCAGACATATTACCAACAGTCTCAAGACATTGATTTATAGCATCCTGAGTCTCCCAAACCAACAGCCAAAGACTTTATAAGTTGACGTCAAGTATTTGGTTTAACCACTCCTAACTCGATGTCGAATGACATTTATTGAATGAGAAAAGCGACGACTCAATATGCAAAACATGGATATATCTTAGCAATCTCAGTCATCAATATGACTTTAATCTCGCTAACTGGCTCCTCTTCCTTACGCCTACACGTCTAACCTCAATATTACTTGACCATATTATGTACCCCTTAACAAGAGAATGGTCAACAAAAAAAAAGGCTGGCTTCTTCATACCTTCCACTTTCATATCAATGAGCATACCTTACAATCACGAAGAAAATATATAGAGAACTGTTGAGCAATATACACTGTGGTCATCTGTCCATCTGTCTGTTTTCGACATAGAACTTTGCACATACGTGCGTCAGTTCAAGTCGCCACACTCCCTCCTTGTACCACACAAAGCAACAGAAGAAAGTAGAAAAATGCATAAAAGAGACAGTAAACAGAGGTGTGAGACAAATGGAATAGTAATAACGAAGAACAGAACAGTTTCATTGGAAATCATAAGTCACAAGGAGTGGATGCATCTGCACCAGTCATTGAGGACGATTTTGAGCCATATCACCAATTGTTTCCAACCAGTGGTTTTTACCAACCAGTCTAGAGGTTTACACCTTCCTACGTGACTGGCTTAAACTAACTGTTGGAGATTTCATTGACTCGTGCCATGTTTTGACACGACCGCCGCTAGTTCATTTCCAGCCTGACCCCATATCAGCTAACATTGCCCGTCGTCGAGGAAGGCGATGACTAGCCGTGAATACGTAACACATGTCCTAACCATCTCAGTCGATGTAGCTTCACAGCATGGTCGATTGACTTCCCCTCCCGCCTACCTAGAACTCGACTGAAGCCTAACCTCAATATTCCTCACTTTATTATACCACTTCACACAGGAGATAAAGCGCAGGTATCTATCATCAAAGACAGCTAATCTTTTCATGTCTTCCACTCTCAATGGCCAGGTCTCACAGCTGGCCATAAAGGAGGACGGAGTGGACTGGTGAGCAGTACACACGCACTTTGGTCGATAGTCGGATATCACGTCTACGCCAGAGACGGCGTAAACTGGCATATGCGAAACTAGCCCTCTGTATCCGTGCTGAGATTTCGTCAGAGATCACCCCGTTGGGGCTGATGGTAAGCCAGTGGTTATCTGAAGAAGAGAACTCTAACTCATTTAGGAAATCTAGCTTTATAGATATTTCAGTTAATTCTATAGGAAAAGAACTAATCGTTTAACTGAATAAATGATTTATTTTGTTAACATAAATAAATTGAAATTAATGACAGAAAAGAAACTAAATACTACATATCCGATGATCTAGTTGATATACTTCAATCTACCACCAAAACTTTCCCAATCCTCCTCGTCAATTAACAACACGAAAAAAGTACAAGTTAAGGAGAATAAAATTAATTGAGATGTTATCTGTAGTGTTGTAGGGTTTCACCCTGTAGGAGGTCTTAAACACTAGTACTACACCACTACTACTAGTACTGCCAGTAAACAACTGACCCAAACTTTCCGATATAGTAGAAAACAAAGAATTAAAAAAATGATTTCTTGCATTAAAATAAAAAATTAATTTTTCAACCTACACAGTTGAACAACATTATGAAAATGTTTAGCTGAAAGAATTTGTGTGATACACCTCCGTTATTTGATAGATTATTATCTTACATGTTATAATTGTGTCCAGGTTAAGGATATAAATCCTGATTTATTGACAATCCATTCTGGTGGTTTGAATAGATTTGCCTCACTGAGCCGAGTCGAGAACGAGGTAAATCACTGATTAATATAGGTCCGGGACGATATAGATTTCTTTGATGTGGATAGCAAGTACACTACTGGTTGACGTGAGTGGTATACTACTAACTATACCGACTAACCAGTAGTATGTACCACTATGCAATTTATCGACAATAGGTTTTAAAGGACACCCCCACCCCTTTATTTTAAGCAGTATGTTTTGTTTTAGTTTGGTGGGCGGTGATTAGCAGTGAAGACTAGGACGTGCGTTTCGTCCCATTTGGGGCTCTTCACTGGATGTACCTGCATTCTCAGTGAATGGCGTTGCTCCGCTGAGACTGCAACCCACCACGCACCACTCACTGGGAATGTTAATACACCCAGATTATGACTCCTTAATCGGGGAGAAAGGAGGATCCAGAATTCCATTACTAGGGGTGATATTAAACATACCATGAAATGCTTCATTATAAATTATTTAAATTAATCCCAGTGTGTTAAGAAAATCAAAAGATTTTTCTGAACGTTTCGCCGTGTAAGCCACAGCTTCTTGAGCAAATAAATCTACTGAAGAAGCTGTGGCTTACACGGCAAAACGTTCAGAAAAATCTTGTTTTGATTTTCTTAACACACTGGGATTAATTTAAATAATTTATAATGAATCAATTTGACTCGGCGCTCAAATTATTCCAGGAAATTCGTAACACCGACGGTCTGGAAACCTATAATACCATGAAATGGTTAGGGGTTACGTTCTCCTCTCCTCCTTTACACCACTTATCATCTCAACTAATAACAATTTAAAACTCATCAAGCACCTTAAACGATTCCGTATTGTTGATAATTGTAACATAAGGTTGTTTACGAACCGAATTCGGTTAGAGAACCATTGAAAACTGTGGAGTAATAGATAGCTGTTTCGTTCCTGGCTGGGCTCTTCGCTAGTAGAGAACCATGACCTCACCAGATTCGAACTCAAGACCTTCAGATTATAAAGCAAGTTCGTTTTCCAATGAGCCACTGCTTGGAGGGAATCCAATGGCCCATAAATTCTAACTTCTGCGTATTGCCGAAGAGTCCCAGACAGAGATGAAACGGCTGTCCAATACTCCCTGGTTCTTAATTGTCCTTTTAATGAAGTTAGTTCGTGATCGATTTTGAAATCAGTTGAGTACCTGCAAACTTATGCTCAAAAATTATTACATAATTCTATTTTGTGTCTAGAAAGTGTCTGAGTTGCTTAACTGTATCACAGTTATCACACACACACACACAGAGAAACACCTCCCCCTCTAAACTACTTAACAATAGACTGTTATACGGTTTTTAGTGAATAGAAATAACCTTCAAAGATGACTTTTTCGATAGAAGAAAATATTGTCTTCACTGGATTGTCTTTTCGTTTTAACGTTTCTTCAAGTGAAGAGATGATATTCCTGAGTGTGGTGGACTGGATAATTCAACAGACAGTGGGGATCAGGAAGACATGAATACGTTAGACCAATAAGGGGGGGGAGATTGTAGAAGATCTGAAATTCATGGATGATTTATGTCTGATATCATAGATACTCAGAGATTTGCCGGTAAAAACCAAAAGGCAGAGGAGACAGGACTTCAGGTTAACATAGAGAAGACAGAGGTGATGAAGGTACCTAACCAATAACTCCAACAACAAGCACCAATGTCTATCAACGGGAGAAATTTGAAGGAGGTCACCACTTTCACTTATCTAGTTAGCATCGTTTCAACTAGCCAGGGTGTCAAAGGAGGGATCGAAAAAGCCAGATAGACAGACCTTCATTAATCTAAAGTCAGTCTGGAAAACTGCTGAATTCGGCAAATTTGGATTTTTTAACAACAATGTCATATCACCGCTTCGTTCTTTATATGGTTTAGCGGTTTGGCACATCGTCGTCACCCAAACCACTTTCAACGAGCTAATGAAGACTTTTGTAAACAGTCGTGTCTTCGCTACATACTGAAGATAGTATGACCAGAAATACTTAGCAACAAAGAACTCTGAGAGCCAGTAAACCAACCAAGAGCCTATCTCGCCTAGCAAATATGCTGAAAGGATCGGAAACACACATTGAGGAAACGGTTGAACGATTACACGCACCACGAAGGCCATCCATCGAATGGAAGTTGGATAGAAACCGACAAGTTAGGCGTCTGTCCAAGGATGACGTGGTGGAGATAATATGAAGAGGAAATGAAAACTTATGCGCAATCGTGGAGCCCGGTAACCAAGGGGAATGATAATATGAATAATATCCATTTAGTGAATAGATATTAGCAATAAATAAATTATTCATAAGAAAGAAGGTAATAAAACAAAGGAATTACCTGATGATTTTTGTTTTTATCACTGAGACTACCAGAACCACTACCACCTCGAGTAGTACTATTGATGCTTTTAGTCGACGAGGCATTTGATAAAGTCGGTATACTATTCCTGGAGATCCCACTGTTATTGATATTATTATGGCTACTACTATTTTTGATATTAGTAGTAGTAGTAGTGGTGGCATTTGCGTTCTTATTAATGACTTTTAATGACTGGTCGGGTTTATTCAATGATGAGGTGGTTGTATAATTTACCGGCCGAATATTATTAGATAATGATGTGTTTGGCGGAGTGATGAATGATCGTTTGCCGATAACTCCAATGGAGGTGGGTAAGACAATACCAGATGCAACCGACTTGTTCACAACAATATCATTTGTCTTCTTAGTTTCATTTTCATTATTATTATTATTATTATTTTGTGATGAGGTACTTGATCCGATTTGATCTAATTCAATGAATTCGGGTAGAAGTTCTAAACTTGAAGTGTTACTACTACTACTACCACCACCAGCGCTGACTGATTGAGAATTCAGTTTTAATTCTTGATTTGTGGAATCATTTTTCTCATTGGATTCAGATGATCTCATTAAGTCTGAGACAACAGTCTGTAAGTGAATAGAAGCAAAGAAAGTAAAAAAGGAGAAAATGAGTTGAGAATGATGTAGTAAACATGCGTATGCAACTGTATAGTTTAAGAATGATATAGCTGGTAGAGAATAACTCTTCGCTGAATGTATAATAAAATGAGATGATTGGGACACATTGACTAGTCTAATTATTCCGGTGATTGCATCAGCTTTAATAAGCTGGTTAATAGAGTAATCCTTTTTATCCCCCTTAAAAAATTCAGTAGTTGTTTGCGTCGGTGGCACAGAGGTTAGGACTCTCGCCGATCATACATATGGTCTGGGGTTCGATCCCCTGCCGACGTACACCTGATATCAATAGTTGGCCTGCACAGTTTGGGCTACCGACATCACATGCTGAAAATTCCATACTTGTACCAGAAATACTGTGTGGTTTTAGGCCATAATCAAAAAAATAATAAATAAAAATTTCTAGCTCCGATAAGATATATCTCGCCATTTCGACTGTTTCTCACGTGGCAAGTATATCGACCAAGAAGTCACTCCGTGTAGAATGTGTAGGGAAGTATCTTTAGGGTAAGGAACCGTCAGTGATCACACATAGAAAAATTGCTTTGTATGCCTAGGCATAATCTTAAGTAAATACAGAATAAAGTTAAGAGAAAGTCGGACAGTAATAAGGAAGCAATCATTTTGGCTCTTTTTCTTTCTTTCCTTTGCATTTCGAGTCAAGCTTTATAGGTTTCAGTAGAGGGTGTTGATTTTACGAATGTCGGTTGGCTGACTTCCCACCCAACCTTCCCTCCTTACCGGGCTTACGACCCGCTAAGAGAGGTTTAGGATTGCGTCGCCGGGAGTCGAACCCCGGTTGACGTGCGTGGTTGGTGGGTATTCTGCCAATGAACTATTGTCACACAAACTAAGAAGTACTGGATAGACGTTTCATCCTGGCATAGGACTCTTCATCAGTACTTAATCATGATTCCAAGGACGATCGAACTCAGAAACTTCAGATAACAAGGCAGCCTGAAGTTCTTCGACTACTGGCTATGAAAACCATACACAATGAGAATATCTGCATGTAAAAGAGCACTGTGAGAATGTGAACAAGGTAGAAGAACATTTATTTATACTATCAACATGTTCTTTATACTTCATTGTCTCTAAATAAAGTATACTTTTAAAAACCCTAACGTTGTATTTCGTCTCATACAACATTTTCCCCTTTGAGGTGCAGATATACGTTGAAATAACTTGAAACATAAAACGGTAATACTAATTTATACTTTTGATAATATCCATCTATCCAGTAGCAATAGTGTTGTTCATTTTACATGATAGGGTTGACAATTTCGCATCCAAACTTCCCCCTTTTTTCTTAGCTTACTATTGGCTGGCAAACTATACGAGGTTTGGAAGAAATGTGTCGATCGGGAATCAAACCCGAACTTCTCGCTTGGTTGGCGAACATCCTAAGACTGAATTCCTGACACATTGAGCTTATTTCTTCAAAGGAGGTTAGCAATGAAAGTCAGCACAGACTTTCGATCCTACATGGGTTTCCACAACTGAATGTGTCTGGACCCACAGTGAGTAGCGGTAATGTTCTCACTAGATCTCGGAAGCAGTACCCATCGTTTCAAACACCCCAGTATTACCCTCTAGACTACTGGACGACAACAGCTAGCCCTTGTGCAATGGGGATCAGTTATTGCTTTGTATTTCCTGTTAGCTGATGTTTCATTGACCAAAAATGGTCCATTTCTGTTAACATATTGGCTCATTGGACGATGGTATCGATGAGGCCATCAGGTTGAGAGGATGCTCATTTCATCACATTCCCATCATTTATTTGGTTGGCTACTTTTCATCTGAGTTACAGCCTAAAGAAATTAGTAAGTTTATGTACAGAACTAATTTACAAGTATTGACTTTGTAGGGATTATGTTTGATTGCATGGAGGATTTAATCATGAGCTGACATCGGTTAGAGAACCACTGGAAAACCTGGGAGCACTGGACAGCTGTTTTGCCACTGGTCCCAGTGGCTCAATGGTCTATGAGCTCGCCTTGTAACCAGAAGGTTCTGGTTTCGAACCCCGATGTGTGCGTACTGTTGAAGAGTCCCTAACTCGGACAGCGGAAACAGCTGTCCAGAACTAATTTAATCTACTTTCAAATGTTACGTAATATCAGTTGACAGGAAGCTCCAAACTTAATAAACAGAACTCTCTCGTTTCTATCAATTGGGTTGAACCCACTGTATTGTTACTCAATTCATCAACTACTCATTAGGTCACTCACCTCTTGCCCGCAATACGTAACTCCTTTGAGATAGCAAGCAACTATTTATTTTTGTTGAAACTTCAACGGTCTGGGTGTAAACTATATCTGTGTAACTTTCTGAGCAGTATTTATACAGTTTGGAGTCACCTGTCAACTGATATCATGTAACATTTGAAAGTATGTTAAAACTGTTCTGTACGCAAACTCAATTAATTTCCTCAAGGTTGTATGTAGACAATGAAAAACAAAAAAAATGCAACGATTTTATACTACACAAACTATCATTCTAGCTTTATTCAAAATGAAAGCAGTACTATAACTTTCAAAATAATAAGTAAAATAGAAGTTACATATTTTAGTCCCATTTTAAGTTCACATTACCTAAATGAAGCTGATCAATTCAGTTGGATACTTCGACAGGAAATCAGAAACATGAACAAATAATTTTGAGTCATAACCAATGTAGGAGATGTGTCCCTTGTGGCATAGTGGAAAACCCTTTGGCATTTGAAACGAAAGGTACTGTGGGTTCGAGTTGCATTAGGAACATTCGAACACACTGGTTAGCAGATACACCTTCCTGATGACTCACAAATAGAATGAAACTCTCGTCCTAAACTGGATCCTGCCATTGGTCACACTACTAAACATAACTTCAAGATTTTCATCCTAATCACCTCACTTGGTCACTAAGTAGGCCAGGTTAAGAGATAAGGTTGCCCGTGAGGCAAGCAACTCAAACCCGTAGAGAAACGAAAACCACAACAACACCATTATTGAAACTTCAAAGCTCAAGACTTAAAGCTCTGTTATTCCAGTCAGAAAATGAATGAAAGAGGAAAATCAATATCTAAGAGGGAAAATAGTTACAAATCGAAATAAATGATAATAATAACATAGAAATAGTCTCATTAATTCGTTCCCAGTTTTCACACCTTCTTAGAAGACCAGTAATTGAATAGTTTTTTTTGTTTTTGGAACAAATTGTTGGACAAAAAAGAAAAATTAAATCTTATTTTTTTAATTAAATTAAAGAAAAACGCTGTTTGTGTTTTTTTTTGACTTCGCCTTCAAAAAGTAGGGAGAGAGAGAGAGTGGGTGTGGGAGAGAAATATGATCGGGGATCGCTTTTCTATTTACTGATAGTCTTCAAATTATGTTGGACGGAAAAACAAAAACAAAAGGAAAATACCAAAGAAGAGAGAGAGCAAGGAAAATTAACAAATTTCTCTTCATCTCTTTCTACTGCGCTTTTTGCTTTCTTTTCCTCTGCTTGTTGATAAGATCCAAATGCCTATTCTATCTCATGCAATTACACACTAATTGGATAATTGATAAAAAATGATTTAATGTTAAATGGCTTATATAAAATGACTTTAAAAAAGGAAATGTTGATGTAGATAGAGAGACAGACAGATAGTCAAGCAACACATACACCAAACCTGAGATTACCTTATGAAGATGATAAATATACGGATTTATATGTTAGATAGTTGGAGGCAATCGGCAGGAAGCCTTGACTACACCTAGGATTCGTGCTAATTGGCACTCACCAGTCAGTCAGCAAGGCGTATCTGTAACCTTGAGGGAACTCATGTCCCTTTTGAGATTTAAACCTGCTTCACCCAGTGCCACCTGCAGTCAGAGACGTTACCACTGAACTATTCGGACTCGCGATTGACCTCCTGTAGGACTATATTGGATACTTTTGTTTGGACACTAGTCAGCGAATAGTGTAGTGTGTCCGGTCTATTGTTTGGTGCAGACTGAATTCTATCAGTCAGGTTTACAATGTGACCACCAATCTAGGTAGCTCACCGTCCCAGTGCACTTCAAAATGTTGATGTTCGACTTCGTGCTGATTGCCTCCAACCATCTAACATCAACAATTTGAAGTGCAACATGATGACGAGCTACGTAAAATGGTGACCATATTGCAAACCTGACTGATAGAATTCAATCTGCGCCAAAGAAAGAACTAGACACATCACACTAGTTACTAGTGTCCAATCAAAGATTTAAGTGTTTTTGTAAGAATTTGTGATTAGTTTCAGTATCCATTTCTTCTAGAAACTAACATTAGTCAGAGATTATTGAAAACTAAAGAGCAGTGGACGGCTGTTTCATTATCATAGCTCCAGATTCTACAGCAGCATGCATCTGTGATCTCACTGTGGACTGAACTCGGGAACCTTCAAGTTATGCAGCGAAGTTCATTGACCATTTGACCGACTGGGCTGGAATTCGGCAACCCGTTGTCAGGACCCACTAACTTTGATGGTTAACCGTGAAGTCATGATTGATGAGATCAATCAGATATTGATTATTTGTTTATAGTTTACAAATCTCCGCTGATGTCGAAACGATATATATATATATAGTCTGTATTGTGACGATTAAAGGCTTTTTATTGTGCTCACTTAAACTTGACTTCTGTGTCTATCTCAGTGCTGGGAATATTTTCAAGTAATCGGTTGTCTGGAGGCTTATTCTAATCAAGATAGACAACAACCAACAAATAACTAACACTTTGTCATACCACCTATGAATTCTAAATTCTGTTAATTCGTGTGATACAATGCGTACTACCACCGAACTAATGCCATGTATGAACATCCACTTTACATATCATCGATTAAGATGGTTAGGAAATGTGTTACACATGTCAAGCCATCGCGTTTCCCAACTGACAAGCAATGTTAGCTGAAATAGGGTTGATTAGGTTGGAAAAGAGCAAGCTAGTGGTGGTCAAAAGTCAATGAAATCTGATAAGAACCAGCATAAAATAGTAAACCATCCTTTCTCACGGATCTTGTGATAGAGTCATAATGTGAATCCATCATTTTTCACGCATATTGCGACTTCTTGTGTATCTGATCAATTCATCATCTTTTGTCTCACCTTGGTATATGTCGGATCGCTAACCAATCAGAATAGCTGTTGCCAGCCAATAAAAACAATCCATTCTCACGGCTGTGAGCCGACTTCATTGTGATAAAGAAAATGCATAAATAGGATATGTTGTTTCCTAGTAAATATACAGTATCTTGCAGTCGCAGGCCAGCCTTTGTCTTTTGATATTTGCGTGACTTAATAAATCGGATGGTACAACGTACAAATAGGCGTATTAGGCATACCAGTCAAGTTCATTACCCCTATAACAATTAGCGGCGCAGATATAACAAAATCCATAAGAGTTAGTTTAAGCCACGTAGGGAGGTGTAGACTGGCTTCCTGTTGACGGTAAAATCCAGTGACTGGAGACAATTGGTGATATGATCCAAATCGTTCTCAATGGCTGGCTCAGATGCTTTCACTTTTTGCGATTTTTCATATATAATAAAACTCTGTTGTTCTTCTGTATTAATATTTTTTTACCTCACAATTCAACACCTCTCTACTTGGCTGGCTAGCTGGTTTAAACTAACTGTTGTGTATTTCATTGACTAATTTCATGTTTTGGTATGACCACCAGCTTTCCCTTTTCCAAAATGATCCATCCTATTTCAGCTAAAATTGCCCGTCGAGGAAGGCGATGGTTAGGCATGAGTAACACATTTCCTAACCACTTCAATAGATATAACTTCACAGCCACTTTCAACTGTCACATCATACAAGCATAAAGAAAGATGGAACTAACTGTTGCATTTCACACATATTCTCTTATCAGTAGTTGGATATCACATCTAGACTAAAAATAACGTGAGTTGGCACATATAAGCCACATGCGTCTCTGGACCAAAATCAATATAAACTGTATAATATTCATAGTGAAAAAATTTCTTGAAAATAAAAATGGGTATAAATCTAATTCGCAATTCGCAGATTAAATTACGATTTACACAGTTCGGAGAAGGGTGGAGGTTGGTGGGGAATTTTCGCCACAGTTTCTTTTACGGACTAAAATTATTCAGATCACAATATGTGAACTGCTTCGTATCATTAATGAATAATCCAGACACTAAGCATAATAGCAGAAAAAATTATATAGTACTGATTACTTGAAATGAGTAGTTGTATACAACACACATATCAACCAGGTGTACTTGATAGCCAGATCAAACTGATCTGAACACCAAGCGAGGTCGATCTCATACGCAGCTTGTTGGTTGACGTGACTGATATCCAACTACTACTCATCATGAACCAATAAGTAGTATATAGTTTTAAACGAAAAGATACAAAACGGTGAGTTACTGGAATACTTACTTCAGCACCCTTTTTTAAAAGTTCACTAATATATTTTGAATCGAAATTACTATTATTATTATAATTGACACTTGAATTGTCTGTACTGTTTAATGCATTACCACCAATGTATGATGCCGATTTGACAGATGGTGGACGTAAACCAGACTTCATATGATTGCCGTTGTTATTATTGTTAATGGAAGGTGTAAGTTTACTAAGATTTGGTAGAATTTCATTAATTGTTTTCTCTGTTATAGATTGAGGAGATTTTTTGCTGTCTGTAGGCGAATCACCACCAGACTGTGGTGACAATTTATTCGTGTTCAAAGTTTCATTCGTGGAAGCTAGAAATAAATGTAAAAAAATTATTATATAAAGAAGGAATTCTCTTAATCACATACATACAATATGCATAAAAAATATGACTGAAAAACAAATAATGAGAAAATATTTCAGTGTTGGTTTGCAGAGATGTGATTGGTTTCAGGATTTCATCATGAGCTGACATTAGTTAGAGAATCATCGGAAAACCTGGGAGTACTGAACCAGTAGAGTGCAGCGGGTCGGGTGTGAGGACAAATACTCGCCGAAGACATTGGCTAGCGGTTGCGCTGTGTCGTGAATTGGCAGAAGTTAGTATTCATGGCTTGGTCATTGGATAGGGTCAGTTGCTTCGTCTCAGTTTGGGAACATGGGCCATTGGATCAGATGCCAGTGGCTTAATCGTCTACGAGCTCGCCTTGTAACCGGAAGGTCCTGGGTTCGAACCCTGGTGGTGGGTGCGCACTGCTGCCCAGTACTCCCAGGTTTTCCAATGGTTCTCTAACTAATGTCAGCTCATGATGAAATCCTGAAAAAATATTTGTTTTCTAAAATTAAATTATGGAAAACTGCTCTCTCTCTCCCCAATGAATATACCTGACTTAATGACGGAGTTTCAACTCAGAACTCAGCGCAGAAGTGCAGCAACTAACGAATAGCTGCAACCTTCAGGTGGTGGTCGGGTTTGCATATTGCGATGAGTTACACTAGATGCAACGAGTGTCCCTGCAGATCCTACTGTGGTGGTGCGATACAGACAATATATTCCAACGAAATATTATTCTCAAATATTCCCACGGTTTAATAGAGCATTAGCAACAGAATACTATGTATATTTGAACATTGTATTTCATGTCGTTTGGTGTAAACTGAAATCACACGCTCAGTGATTGATTGAGGAATATAAAACTCTATATATATATAAATAGCGGTTTGATCACTTAAAAATATACCTTGGTTTCTGTGTCTTGCATTCTGTTGTCGTACTACCACGCCGGAAAGGATGATTGGATAGCCGTTGGGCTAAAAGTAGTCATTGTCATAGTGTGAGTCGTTTATAGTATGTTAGGTGTCTGTAGACGAAGCCGCACCGCTGGTGCATAGGGCTGTAACAGCAGTAAGATGTTTCCTTATGTCGACCAGTAAGCGTCAGTTATGCTACCTATTCACTCTGGAGATGGAGGTTAGAAAAGATCAACCCGAAAATTGTACATCTCAACTTACCTTGTGGCGGACTGGAGCCGTACGTAAGGTCTTCATACGGTCACAATTCAACAAAGCCACTCCAAACAGACTGTGCAAGTGATCAGCATCAAGTTGCTTTAGGTATCCCAAGAAGAAATCAAGTTCGACGGTGTGGGCAACTATCTTCATACACTTCCATAAATACACAAAGCTTTCCTGACAATCACCCATCTTTACTTCTATTGTTAATACTATCCACAGAAGATCTATTACTTCCTCTTAACTCTGAGACCATAAGGAACACGTTCCAGACAAATTCGTTTATTGCAAATTACACTGTTTGAGTTGAAAACTCACTAGAGTTTCCTTTGAATATATATATATATATAATGTGCATTCCAGCTCTAGTGTCAGGTATAATACTAATCAGCAACAGTGAGGTTAGGTGTAGTGTGTCAAGTAAGTAGGGAAAGTGAGTGGATGAGATCATGAAGCTGCATTGGTTCAGACGGTTGGAACATGTGTCACGCATACTACAAACTATCATTTAGTTCCCAATGATTATCGGTCTGGCGTTAGTTTACTAAAGAATTTATTCTAGAATAATTCGACGTGTTGGACATCTGTAAACCCATAAGAAATAGGAAATGGATTAACACAAGGCTCAACTAAATGAACTAAAGTTACTAAATCAGTGGCTTGAATTTGTGCTTAACGTCGTCACCTGGTAGTAGTAGACTCAATCCCCCATGGGTTAATGTGGCTGAACACTGTAAAAAGGCTAATTTAAATTTTTAAATATTTATTCCAAGTTTGAAACTGGCATCAGTTAGAGAATCACTGGAAACCAGAGAGGACTGGCTGTTTTGCCTTCTTTTAGGACTCTTCATCCCCCTATAGGGGATCAAACCCAAGACTCACGGGTTACAAGACGATGTTGCGGACCATTTAACCACTGGGACGGAATCTAATGGCTTATGAACTCTTACTTTTGCCAATTTTACGATATATAGTGCGACCGACAATCAATATCATCGGTGGGTATTAAGCAACACACCCGACTTGATGGCCCCCACTGATCATGACTTCTCCCTAGAAACCCAGGTACCTTCGTCTTGTAGTTAGTTAATAGTGGCCATCAGATTAATTTTCAAAAGTTAGTTTGTAGGAGTTCATCACGCTAAATTATAGAATTCACAGAAGTTAGATCTTTTTTGGTTATTGGATACCATATCAGTGGCTGAATGGTCGAAGAGTGCGCATTGTTACATGAAGGTCACCATGGGCTCATGGGTGCGCCACGCTGAAGAGTCCTAAGCAAGGAAGAAACAACAGTTTACTCACTATTCAATGGTTTTCAACAGTTCCCTACATGATAATAATGCGTGGTCAAACTGAAAGAAAAAACAAATTTAATCCCTATCAGCTAACTCACGAAAATTAAAACATTTACCCTAAAATCTATCGTATTCTGACAAAAAACAATAACATCTAAGAAAGAGTAAACGTAAAATGCTTACGTTTAGGAATTTTGGCTCCGAATGATGTACAATTGACTTGATTCAACACTTGCGACGAATAGTTAGTAATATTACTCTTATGACTGTTATTTTTATCACCATAATTGACAGTGAAGGTGGCCGTAGTGGCAGTCGTATCAGTAGTAGAAATAGTTGCAACAGTACTGCTAGTCTTCATTACATGCTTCTTCATCATCGTCATCGGTGAGTTCGTATTCCGACACAACGGCGGTTGTACATCGTCGGAGCCATGATCTAAAAAATGCATTGTACTACCACTGCTACTGCTGTTGCTATCAGTAGCTTGCAATGAATTATTCGACTTTGTATAAGTTTTATTTGTATTATGACTTGGTATTCTAGAATTTTGCTGTTGTGTTTTTCGTTGTATTTGACTTGATTTCTTCGATAATAGACTATTATTTTGAGAGGGTGTCAAGTTCGAATCCGATACTGGCGGTTGTGATGGTTCATAAACTTGTAAGTTAGACATTGACAATGTTGTGCTATTGACCATATGATTATCTGCCCTGTCAATAGGTTGATGACTAGATCCAGTAGACTTTTCTTCCATCAGTTGAACACCTTGCTGTTGTTGAGGAGATGATGATGATGATGGCTGCTTTTGTTGTTGGCCAAATTGATGAGGTTGTTGGTGTTGTTTTCGTAGAAGTGATATTGACTTAGGTCGTGGCATAGCTGATGATATACACTCTTGTAATAAGGAGTGTTCCATTCCAACAGATTCAATACTGAGTAATGATGAAAATGAACTGGCATCATCTTTATCTCCTCCAACTGTTCCTCCTCCTCCTCCTACTCCTCCCCCAGTGTAATGAGATGGAGATGATGAGGATGGTAACGAGGAATTAGGCATTGGGATACAATCATCAACATCATCATCATCATTACGTTCAATTTCAGCATGATGTAGATATGATTTCGATGATTGCTCAGACATATCTGTATAGAAGAAAAAATTGTGTTAAAAAAAAATATATATAAATTCTTGATAGCAATTAGGAAGAAGATACGAACTAGCAGACTTCGGAAGCGATGAGTGGGTCGTCCTAGAGTGACATAGAGGAGAACATGCGAGGAGATGAGAGATTATGATTAATCATGGACCCAGCTGAAGAGGACAGCACCAAATAGAACAAAGTAGAGATGTGTTGTTGAAGCCCTACGTTACACTCAGAACCCAAGGGAGTAGTAATAATAGCAACTGACTTGGTCTTAGTACTATTTTATCATTATTATTCCCTTAAGTTTCGAGTGAAACAATAACGCTTCAAAAGTATTTATTCCTTTTTATTCTGTTATCTGATGTCTTTTTTTTAACTGGATTCAATATTGATTATACACTTACATCTCTTGCTTACAAAGAATCTCCTCAATGTCACTGTCAGACACCCACACCAAACTCATCGTCTACCATTCGAGTTCCACACGATGGCCTCAGCACGATGTAACTCAACGGTTTCTAAAGCGTATGTCTAATGTATCTCCATTACCTTCTGTATATTTGTATGTCAATAGGGCGACAGTAAAGAATAGTCACTACAGTCGAACGACCTTGAACCGGCCAATCAGATCGCTCAGCACTACAAAAAGGAAGTTGGTCATAATTTTTGTTGCAGGTTTCACTCGGATTTGGTTTTTGACTTCTGTGTGGAAAATGGGTTTATAGGGAGGACTCAACATTCATATGTATTGGAGGGATAATGACTCTTCAGAAGTATTGTTGGGTATGCATTTAGATGCAATCACTGTTATATCAGAAAGTTTGTAGGACTTAGCAATTCGTAGATTATGGTCATTTTTAGATACTTTCCTCTCGAAATCGAAACTTTGTTCTACTAAAACATTTTGCCCCAATTGGCTACTGAAATGATCAGTATCTGATACGGCTGCGGAAACAGAGAATATTAAAATGTCGGAATATCGCCTCACAAAAGATCAATAGAAATATTTCAGCGCTTGGAGGAATCGGTGTCATCGTTCATACTGACGAAACAGTACTCATTAAACGAAAAATGAATCGCGGTAGGAGAAGAGCAAACCATGTTGCTGGGTGCTGGGACTTTACGATACAAATCTTTGAAAAGGTTTAGTCGAACGCATTCCGAACAGAAGTGTTGATGTTTTAATGTCAATGATACAACAACTAGTCCTTCCTGGCACAACCATTCACACACACGAGTGGAAAGGTTATTCGTAACTATCATGATTAGGATATATTCATTATAAAGTTAACCATTCTTCTGAAATAGTGGAACTCTTACAAATCCTACTGAGGGATTTTTAGTACCATCTTCAAAAAACGTATTAGAATGGCAAATGGTTCTCGATATGATATGATATGCGGCGATTTAATTGAATTTTTGTATCGACATTGGTTTGAAATATCTATAGACACTCCAATGGTTATGCTTCAGGGTCATTTGACTGTGGTGTCTATTCTATACTGTTACCACCCATAGGATCATGGTTGCACTTTGTTGCACTACAGAATTCCTTGTTGCTAATTCTTTTTGATCTTTAGTAGACAGCTGCTTATGGAAGTCTACAATCTGAGCTCAGTCTTTATACGTAATATGTGTGACTCAGTCTAGTACATAAGAAGGCAATGGGGAAGGAATTTGACAAAAAATTAGGTCTTCAACTGAAATCAAAAATTAGACAGTCTCGAGTGGAACCCGAATGTGAAATGATGGGTTGGACGTCCAAAGATGACATAGAGATTAATATGTAATGAGAAAATGAAAGCTTGTGGAACATCACAGGAACGGCTGAAAGCGATGGCAAAGAACCAAATACAATGGGGATGTGTCAATCAAACTTTGTGTTACACTCGGAACGTGACGAACGAACGAATAATGATAATAATAACATGCTACATGAAAAATATGTTTCGGGTAACTGAGTTTTGACTAAGTGAAACAGCTTTATTGAGTGCACTGTTAGTTTGAATCAGAAAAGGTACTTTGGAGATATTAATTAGTAAGCCATGAAATCCTTGACAGTTAAACTGAGTCGGTCAGGTAGGGAGATGCAGACTTCCGGATTGGCGCCCTCGGGACTGACTCTAGAAATCAATGGCTGGAGACAATGGGTGACATGGCTCAAAATCGTTGTCAATGGCCAGCGCACATGTATTCAGTCTCTGTAATCTTTCATATTCCTTTCTACCATTACCCATTCTGTTTCACTCTTATACTTGTCAAACTCTATTAATTCTCTTCACTCATCTTCTTGTCTACCTCTGTGTGCTATTTGGAACGTGGCAACTGGAACTGGTGCACTTCGGTGACAAGTTCTATGTTGAATCCAGACAGACAGACAGAATTAGTAAACGACCAATTAGGTAATTTGAGATGCATAATTTAAGGAATTAAAATAAGGTATTCCAGTAATCTTCATAAATTGTTAATGATAGCCGGCCAAACAGATTTCAATTTGACATATATGAAAAAAACAAATAACATCAGTACTTAAAACTACATTGTATAAAATATCCCAGGCATATATACTACTGATGGACTGATATAAGTAGTTGGAAATCATTCACATCAAACACTGATTCTTGACAGGCAAATTGAAGTGACCTGAACGTTGGACAGCAGTATAGGACTCGGGTTAGAGAGACTAATCAGTTCAAACTATCCGAGTTCTAACTAAATGCTTGAGAGAGCTGGTTATGTACAGAATCAAATTCCTTATTTACAAATCACACAAATCTAGCTGAATCATGCAGGGTACATTGCTGATGAGCTCCGCATAAAATGACCGAGAAGGCAGTCCAGTTTCTAATTCAGTTCCATCTACCTAACAAACACTATTGTCTGACATGAATAGTTTCTGACTTCTCATAGTTTTCTTGACCGGCAGTCATGGCATCAATAACACAAAATACATATTGTTATCTAAGCAAACATTTTGGTGATTTCTCACATCGAATTGTGCAATTTACATATGACTAGATTCATTCTATTCTAGATTTGTTAATGAAAATGGTTTTAAGTGGGGGGGGGGGGGTAAAAGAAGAAACAAACTAAATAAGATACTTACTTTGAGAACGAGAAACAATCGGTGAATTAAGTGAATGACACTTTGTCTGTAGCATAGGTGCAACTGTTGCTCTTGGCCTCGTCAGATCCGACGCTTTAGCAAATGGATCTGGACTACTACTATTACTACAACTAGTAGTTGTCAACGCTGATGTGGTACGCAGTGGTGGTGTAGGTGGTAGTTGAGTATTATTATTATTATTATTATTATTCAACGGTTGAAATAGACATGATGATTTCGGTATCATAGATAGCAAAGAATTCGATGTTTCAGATAGTATACTGCCTTCATCATTTGGCAAAGATGATGAATATGACAAGTTGTCATTTAAACCGCCTGGTGTTCCTTCAAGTGCATACATTTGTAGACAGTCGCCATCAACTTCATTGTCATCCTCCTCCTCATCAGCGTCAGCATCCGTGGTAGATGTTCCTTGAATTATTGAGCATAGATTAGACAGTCTTAGTTGACCACCAACACATTTAGGCATTGCTGATTGTATAACTTCAGATAATAAATCAGATGAATTATCACCATTCAATGAACTTGATGTTGATGAACTATTATCATGATTTAGATTGATATTTTCTGTTGTTATAGAAGCATGATGAGGTAAATGTGAATTGCAATCATTTCCAGCATTGCCCACTCCTTCTTCGTCTTCGTTTTCTTCTTGTTGCTCTAACCCTTTATGCTCTGAAATGATTAAATCACTTAATGAACTAGCCTTTGTTGAATTACTGAATGGTGTATTCTCAACAGCAAAAGTTTTCAATGAATCATCAGTTTCATTAAAGAGAATATCAGAAGGATTAGAGAAATTCTTGTTATTATGATTATTATTATTATTAGGCGAATGATTTAATAATACACTGAAGGCATTATTTGATGGCATAGCTGATGCGATGCATTGTTGTAATATTTCTGAATGTTGATTATTCCCATCTTCATCTTCATCATCGTCGTCGTCATCATCATCGTCATCGATATCCACGTCGACACCGCCGTCTACTTCACTAATAGTCCTATTCATTTCATCTAGATTGCTCTTCATCTCCGATTGATTAAACGTATGTGAATGCAGATACATAGGATTAGTGTTACCACCATTCAAAGAGACAGCATCTTGTGGTGTACCTTCTTCAGCGAATGGTAGTCTAACATCCCCTTCATCTTCTTCACCTTCAACACAACTATCATTGGCATAGATTTCAACATTACAATTTCTGTTATGATTTCTACTTCTGTCATTACGAGAACAAGCACTACTATTACTACTATTGCTAGTAATACTACCTCCACCACTAAAATGACCGCTTACATCACTACTGCTAAGATCATTACTTCTCAACTGATTTGAATATTCACTATCTGGTGATGACTGGAAACCACCAGGGAATGGAATTTCTAAGTCTAGTGAAGACAAGCAGGATGATGTACCACGTGAAAAGACTAAAGGAGTTTGTTTCGACGAGAAAACATCACAATCTGATTCTCTACAGGCTATAGGAAATGTTGACAATGGTTGTGAAGGTGGCGGTGGAGGCATAGGGAATTGACCACCCGCATATTTATCACAATCTTCTAGATTCAATGATGTTAATGGTGAGACTAGATTAGAGATATCTGCCGGTGGTGATGGGAGATAGGTGTTATCTTCAATAGTGTGAACTGCTTCACAATGTGTAGCAGTTGTTGTTGTTTTTGTAGTCGTAGTAATAGCAGCAGCAGTTGTGGTAGTAGTATTAGTCGTACCAGGATATGATATGAAATCCATCTTTACTGTTGACTGATTCAATTCCATTTCATTCAATCTACTTTCACTATTGTGTATACTATCTTCACGGCTAAGATGACTATCACAATTCGATGGTGTACCTTCCATAGCATATACATGAGGTACTGGATCATTGCGATACATTGTAAGCGGGAGATTATAATTACTGTTCTCTTGACTGTTATTATTAGTATATATTATTTGTGTTTCATTTGAAGCATTGTACACTTTATCGCATTTATCATTCATGACAATCTTTTCATCCGTTCTGTTCAACTCTAAGGAGGATGCAGTTGTAGAATCTGGTGGAAAAGGTGTCCCCTCTTCAGCGTAAACACGTGTTTGCTCTTCATCTGTCATCAATTGGGCAGTATCATTTACATGAGTAGTATGACTAACTGGATGATCACACCAATTAGATATACGCTCATGATGATGAGCATGAGGATGGTGTTGATGATGATGAGAAGGCGGAGGGGGGAAATGATCCGCTGATCCGGAGATCATAATTTCATTATCACATAAACTTTCAGAATTTTTATTATCATGACACCTGAAATGATCATGATCCATAGATAATTCACCTTCATAATGATGATGATGTGGAGGGTGGGGGAAACTTTCATCTACTTCATACTCAACTTGTTCCCTCTCTTGATGATGATGACGATGATGTGGATGTTCACGATGATTTTCTCCACCATTTTCACTTACATCATCATGTTCACCTACTTCATCTTCTTCAGGGACATCGTCATTATCACCATCATCATCATCGTCATCGACATTGTCGTCGATTTCATCATCACTTTCAGCTTCGAAAACAACCGACAATAAACCAAAACGAAGTCTACATGATCTAGATGAAACTCGACGTTTGTAAGAGCCTTGTTCACATGAGGATGATGTTGGTGTTGTCGTCTGTGACGATGATGCTGATGATGATGTCTCTGCAGGGTAAGATGAATTATTTTGTTCATTATTACTTGAACCATCATATGTTTGCTGACGATTAGTACTGTTCTGTTGTGTACTAGTGAATACATTCAATATTGAGACTTGATAATTCGTAGTAGCTGTATGAGCAGTATTAATGGTAGTATCCGCATAATTGGGGTTATAATTATGTGATGACGATGATGACGGCAAATAATTCTGATTCATTGATGTATCGGTCTGTAAGAGATTTCGATAAACAGCCATTGAACTATTACGTATTAAATCATGTTTTGATTGTGTTAACTTTTGAATTAATTCTAATCCACCAAGTTGTAAAAGGAGTAGACGATCATGATGACTACTGACTACGATATTAGTAGTATTAGCAGCACTGGTAGTTGTAGCAGAAGTAGCAGAGGTATTATTGCCATTATTACCGGCATTAGGAATAATATTATTTAATGAAGAACAAGTTAAATTCCAAAGTGTACCACACACATTCACTACAACTGTTAAACTCGGTGGATTACGTAACAACTCCAAGAGGATTGGAAAACAATTGTATTGATGAAGAATAGACCTAGATTTAATGTGGTAAAAAGAAGAGAACAATGTAAGAAAAATAATTTAACAAACATGCTTACAGAAGAGAAAATTATCTCTTAGGACAACAAAGCGAAATACTCATGCTAGACGACTACTGCAGATAACTGAACAAGACGAAAGGAGGATATTCTCATCCTAGATTCCACTGCTAGACTGGCTCTACTAACTCTAGATATCTGAAACAGACAGACAGACAGACAGATAGCAGTAAACACTGACAATACAAGACATGGATGCATCCAGCTCACATCTTCACACCAAGGATTGTATGGCAAGGGAGAGGAGAGAGTTGTACGATTATAATCTTGCGTATTCAGTTATATTAGAAAATCCCCATAGTGTTATCAAAACAGGATACTTTTGGAGCGAACAATTGTTTTTGATAACTTCTTCCTCAGGCTTTACAATTAGAAATCCATGAATATTAGAATACAAATAACCAACCAGTGAAGGAAAATGAAAATTATATTAGGAACTGTATGTCTGCCTATCTATCTGTCTATTTTCGGCATAGAACTTTGCACCGATGTGCAACAGTTCAAGTCGCCACACTCCCTCCTTGTAGCACAAAAAGCAAAAGAAGAAAGTACAAGAAATGCATAATACAGACAGTAAACACAGGTGTGAGACAAAGGAATAGTAATATCGAAGAACAAAACAGTTTCATTGGAAATCATAAGTCACAAGAAGTGGATGCGTCTGCGACAGCCATTGAGAACGATTTTGAGCCATGTCACCAATTGTCTGCAGCCATTGGTTTTCACCGTCTCGGGGACCCTAACCAGGAAGTCTACACCTTCCTACGTGGCTGACTGGCCTAAACTAACTGTTGTGGATTTCATTGACTGGTGAAACTATGTTTTGGTTCGACCTCCGCTAGCTCTTTTACAGCCTGACCTTATATCAGCTAATATTTCCCATCAGTCGAGGAAGGCGATGACTAGGCGTGAATACGTAATACATATCCTAACCATCTCAGTCGATGTAATTTCACAGCCTCATCGATTGATTACCTCTCCTTACCTAGCACTCGACGCCTAACCTCAAAAATGCTCACCTTATTATACCACTTCACACGGGAAATAGAACGCAGGCACCTATGATCAAAGATAGCCCTTTGGTCGATAGTGTACTGCTCATCAGTCCGCTCTGTCCTCCTTTACGGCTGTATGTATCGGGCTACATGTATAAGAATGTGAATAGACAACTGTATTTATAGTCAATAGAATATAAGTTTCATTTAGCAAGGGGGAGGGAGAGGGTGGTGAGTTGTATTCATTGGTGTGAGAGAAATACGATTATCATAAAATACATAAACAACTACCGACAAATGGGGAATACTGAATGTTAGTTCAAGAGCTGACAGATAATCAAGTGTAGTGACAAAATAAAGAGGCTAAATTTATAAGGAATAAGAAAGGTAAAATATGTCATAATATGCCTATTTTATTCCTTTGCATCAAGTTTACTTCACTCCATTATTATCCTTATTATGCATCAACCTTTGTAATTTACACTAAGCTTATTATGTCTTTAGTATTAAATTACAGTTCACACAATTTAACCACACTTACATTTTATCTCATATTCTGAATGACTGTGCATTTTTATAAATATTCAATTGACACTATTAACTAATGGACCAGACTATCATTCAATCTTATGCGTGTACCCTAATACAGACAGTTTCTGGCATAATTTTCATTTGCCTACACTGACTGGCTATTCGTATTCTAATATTCCTGTTTTTATAAAGGTAAAGCCCGAAGAAGAAGTTACCGAAAACAATTGTTCGCTATAAAAAAAACCATCTTATTTTGTATATTGATTCAGTCAATCTATACTATTCATTATTATAAGAGTATTGGAATGTTCTCTGGCTAAATTCCCATAACCTCATTTTGTAGGGACAAACAATGCGCGATAGAATCAAAAGTTCACGCTTTCAGTTGCTTCTAGCACACGGATCACTTGGCATTAAGTTTGTGAAGGTCAGTGACTAACAGATTATCCCTTTTATTTCCGAAAGACATCTTCCCGCACAAGTGTACGTGAACAGCTACAGTGATATTTAGATTGAACGCAATATGATATCATACGAACCAAATGTGGACGCACATGAACTAGGAGTGCAAACAGATGCCACGTACGCCAATCAAGCGTGCCACCATGCATCACAGTCGCACAGCGATTAGAATGCTCGCTGACTATGCGCATGGTCGGAGGTGAAATTCCATACTGACACACACCTGATATCAATGGTCGGCCTGCTAAATCTAGGCTACCGATATCACATGCTGAAAATCCCACTCTTGTACCAAAAAACACTGTGTGGAATCAAGTTATAATAAAATAATTTTTTTTAAAAATCACTGTAAGCAATTGATAACCTGTTGACAGACTCAATTCTTAGACTAGAACTATACACAGAAGTGCAATAATTCAGTTCAAGTTGTCACACTTCATAAAGCAAAAAGGTAGAACGAAAAATTCAAAAGAACAATAATGAAATGAAATGTACGGGGAACAAATAATTACATAGGACTTAATGGATCTCGGAAATCACCAATAATAACACTTTTAGGCATTGTCTCTAACAGTCTCAAGCAACTGGTTCCTTGATTCTGGGGGATCCTCAGTCAGGTAGTCTAAAATTCTGCACATAGTTCTCTAACTGACATCAATCCGTGATAAACTCTTAAAAAAGCATAGTTCAGACGCAAAATTATAGACTCCATGAACTGATACCATGTTTTCGCCTAATTCCCTTAAATCTTTTGCAACTTAATCCTATATAAGCTAACACTAAATGTTTAGCGAAGCAACGGGAGATTTGTAGCCCTACATGAAGGTGGAAATTGTTCTGTGACCACCCAGCTTCAATATTCGATCATGGGTGTTTCATCGTCAAACCCCATGATATGCTCACTACTAACTTGATGAATGAAGTTTCCAACATCCAATCTGCTGTAGAAACAGTGAATCAAAACTCTTAATAGCCTGTAAACAAAAGTAAGTAAAAACGGACTAATGTATGTCTGTGGATCGATTCCAATAAGCTTCGAACATGTCCATCGAAAGTGGAAGCTTCCAAAAAGAAAACTGACTAAAACTCTATGATACTGAAGGGTATAGTAAAGTATGACTAATTCATTCGGTCAACACATTTGACAGAGCATTTAGAAACGCAGTTAATTTAACCCAAAAACCATGCCAACAATTACTCATCACCAAAGCTCAGCCTGAAATGGGCACGGATATCAGTTTGCTAGCACCACGTCCAAGATGATAAGCATCAAAGCATCAACGTGTGATAATTTGACATCAAAAGCATTCCATGATGAACGTGGTAAGGAACTGTCGACTAGAAAGAAAACGATACTAAGTAATGTAAAACATACATAACTATTCCACACAAAGTGCCCAGGACAATTATTAGTCATTCAAGGGTATAGCGAACACAAGATTATCATAGACAGTGGCTAACGTTGGAGTTTGGGAGGTGCATTTCGCCCCCGTTGAACGCTCATCAGATGAATACATACTAGCAATCCAGTGTAATCGTAATTCTGCTAAATCTTGAACATAGATAGGAAGTAAATTGCTCGAGTGTGTTGACCAGTTCACTCATTTGGGAAGTTGTATCAGCCTCAACGCACTGACTGACTATTGATGAAACTTTAGCATGGATACAAAAAGCTTGTGTGACATTCCCTAACTTACGTCATCTCTGGCAGAGACGTGATATCCGGCTGACTATCGATGAAAAAATGTGTGTACTGAGCACCAGTTCGCTTTGTCCGCCTTTATGGATGTTAGACATGCTCAGTGAAATTGGAAGATATTAAAAGACTAGCTGACTTTGACGACAGGTGTTTATACTCCGTCTCTCCTGTTAGGTGGTATAATAGGATGGTTAATATTGCAGCTAGACGTAGAGTGTTGGGTTAGGAGGGTAAGTTAGTCGATGAGTTTGTTAAGGTGAATAGAAGTAGATGGGTAGGATACGTACTATACATTCCAAGTCATAGCCTTTCTCCTCGATCAATGTTAGCTGACATAGGATCAAACTGGAAAACAGCTAGTGGTGGTCAAACCAAAAATGGAATCAGTCTTTGGAATACATGATTATTGGTTTCAGCCAGTCATGCAGGGAGGTGTAGACTGTCTGATTGTGTTCCTCGGAATCCCAAGAACCAATAATCTAGAGACCATTGGTGATATGGCTTAAAACTTTTGTCACTGGTGCAGATGCATCCACTCTCTGTGATCTCGCGTGTCCAATAAACTGTCACGATTCCCCATATCTCTAGTCTTCCTTGCTTACATTTCTATTCATTATATTTCTTTTGAATTCCTTTTTTCTGTCTTTTATCTTCTTTTGTGTGCTACATAGAATATTATAACTGGGACTTCTGTGTTAAGTTCTATGCTGAAACCCAGTTAGTCATTCATTGTTTCAAACGCTAGTAAGCTATCATCAACAGACTACCAATCGACGAAAGGGAAGATATCATCGAGGCATCTGAAGTAGCACACATACACAAATAAGTACTACACTACGGAAGACATCAATAATAACAACAACAGACGACGACGAGACTTACCGATAATCATCACGCGAAGCAATAATTGTTGAGATATTACGTAAAATACCACCACTATTTTCAATGATAACTAAATTTTGTGCAGGATTTTGAAGACGCAACATTCTTAAGAGGAATGGGAGCAAACCATCCACACTAAAACATAAAAATAATACTGTCGGTATTAATAATAATAATAATAGTAATAATAATTTAAGAAATTATTCAAACATACTTAGAAGTAAATTTTCAGTATATATCCACACTTATCCAGAAGTGATCTTTCATATATCAGGCTAAATGCCACACTTATTATATGAGGGAGGATGATATCTATCGAGTTGCCTTCAGGGTGAAGTGGCTGCAATGGGATTCGGACCCATGGCCCATATTGGCTCATAATTGGCCAAATAGCCGCATTTACACACTCATGCAAACAACATCAACCGTTCTATAATAGAAATATTTGCTTCTTCTATTTCATAGCTGATTCAATTTCTATTAAGGATTGCAAGCTTCTCTATTCAGAATTTTCTACAGAACTTTCAATTTTTACATAAATGAACATTACCACTGCTTCACTAGATGAGGTAACACTATAGACTACCCATATCTACTGATCCAAGTAGTATATTCCACATTAGAATACGGGAAAAATAGCTACATACACAGAAAACAGGATTCTGTACATTCGAAACACACATCCCTAAAGTCATAAAATATCTATAGCCTAACACAGGAAAAATCTGGTTAAATCAAATCAGGCCTTCCAGACAGTAACAGTCTCGAGTTGTTTCATGATATAACAAGCTAAGCAAACAGTTTAGTGCTCTTCTTGGCAAATAACTGGTACCAATGATATACACATATAAATTAAAGCGAAGTTTACTTTAAGCAAAAATTACCTGCATACAGCTCTCTTATTCTGTGAACAATGAGCGCTAAGATTCCACAAAGCACTGAGTGTAGTTCGCAAAGTATTTTCTTTTTGTGCACTCATAGCAGCTATTGTTAGGCGTTTGGCAGCACAAACACGTCGAAGTGCAGCTTTACTCCGACTATCTGTACGCCAGCTAAGATTACGTAATACACTGGCTGATACCTATAGGAAGTAAAATCAACAAAGTCATACAAAAAGTATAGATATGGAAAATTACTGATAAGATAATGCCTAAGCTAAATTGAACACAATACTTTAAAGCATGAGCAAAGTTCGACAAGCATAAAAACTAACCAAAATACAATGGGAAAGTGATTTAACTTTACCAGCATCTGATGTTATTGCCAGTCATATGACAGAGTGAGTCTTACACTTTGAGTGTCAATGCTTCATAACCTTCGTTAAAGAACATACGTTTAGTGTAAATTCGTATATAACTCAGCATTCTCCACTTCTGTGTCAAGTATTACCCACTGACCAGGCCGACAATGTTCCCCTATCTAGCTACACATCATTATTATCATTAAAAAAATACAAACTTGGTACATTATAAGCACCAAAAGACGGGCCACACAACAATAGTAAGACATCAATATGTAAAGAAAGTAGAGACAGAATAAGTGAAACAGATCATCCAGAAAAAAAGCAACCACACTTATCGAGACAAATATCCACCACTCATTACTTCATATTACTTACAGAAACGAAATAAAGAAGAAAGCTGCAGCAGGTTTGCCATTTATTGAGATTCTTGACCATGTCTGATAATGTTTCGAGCCACCGATATGAACTATCTCTCGGACATCAACCAGGGAGCCGTGATGCACCAATACCGATGCTAACCTAACACAAACAGCCTTCATTCCACAGCAACACATCATAGCGTGAACACCTCTCCACCTTTTCCATTCAGTCCCAGGGCTAGCAAACAGACTTCGACATGAAGTCTCTAAGACAACATTCGTAAAACCTGTCCAAGTCACCAAGGTCGGTGTTTCCAGATGACGACACTGAATGAATGGTGACCTCCGTCACCTCCAAACACAACATAATAAGTTATGTGATGATCCCTTTGAAAGTAAGAGATTTTACGGAGACAACAACGATCGAATATGCAGCGCCACTGCATATCCTTAGCTCAGAAAAGATAAGTTCCACAGGCGTGGAATAAGACTACGCGTACCGAGGTAATATAAAAGCGAAATCTATAGTGAAGTCGAAACAGTGCCAGAGGTAGCCCGGATCGGTGTATACCATCCAAGCTTTCACTACATGGTTAGAGGTTTCATCTGTCACAGCACTCAAATTGCAACAACAGAAGGTAAGACACGGAAGCCAAGGTGTATTTTTCATTAATCAAACCGCTGTTCCCGTATCACACCACCACAAAATAACTACCTCGATACACGAAATTGTTGTAAAATTCAAGTGGTTCACCTGCACAGTTGAGTGCAGCTACAAGCTCCTACCAATCTTGCAACAATACCTTAAACTTAGACATCGTAAAGTACATACAATACTTACAGACACTGGTTTGGCTATATACGCATTGGAAGATGAAGTTACAGCTACTAACCTAATGATTCAAAATACACTGCCTAGAATAATTACATTTGGTAGAAGTCTCTATGTGAAAAAGAAGCAGATATGATTTAAAAGTATTGAAATGACTTAAGAATAGACTTTCAGCACTCTAGTACAGTATGATTCTATTACACTGTATATTTATTTGATAAAGTCATGCAATGCTTTAGTATTACTTACTGATGACGTTTCCAGAACAATTTACTGCTCATGATAATATCAAGGCACTCACATAACTTTCAAACTTGGTTTATATCATTCCATTATTTCTTATCCGTTGATTGGAAGGCTATGGGAGTACCTTAATATGATTATAAGCAATAAAATGTGCTCAAAGCGTCATTAATAAATAATAATATATCACACTGTGTGATTTCATTAAAAAAAATTTACTCTCTGCTGTTGAAATGATAACTAAGTAATACGGAAACTCCTACAACACTAAGGATTTCAGTGCCCTGAATCTTCATCAACCACATTCAGCATCTTTATGACAATGCTACGTGTCAAGTGATTCATAATTAGAAACTCAGTGAAGGCTTTGAAGTGAATGCAGGAGTAAGCTGAGGCCACATACTATCACCGAAGATATTCCTAATTGTGGTGAAGTGGATTATGCAACAGAGTGTTGGGACCAAGAAGAATGATGTAAAAGACTCTGGAAAATATGGATTTCGCCGACGACTTATGTCTAGCTTCTGTCTGTCTGTTTTTAACGTAGAACCTTGCACATATGTGCACCAGTTCAAGTCGCCACACTCCCTCCGTGTAGCACACAAAGCAAAAGAAGAAAGTACAAGAAATGCATAATACAGACAGTAAACACAGGTGTGAGACAAAGGAATAATAATAACGAAGAACAAAACAGTTTAATTGGAAATCATAAGTCACAAGGAGTGGATGCGTCTGCGACAGCCATTGAGAACGATTTCGAGCCATATCACTAATTGTTTCCAACCATTGGTTTTTACCGTCCCGACGACCCCAACCAGGAAGTCCACACCTTCCTACGTGGCTAAGTGGCTTAAACTGACTGTTGTGGATTTCATTGACTGGTGAAGCTATATTTTGGTTCGACCTCCGCTAGCTCTTTTACAGCCTGACCCCATATCAGCTAACATTGCCCGTCGTCGAGGAAGGCGATGACTAGGCGTGAATACGTAACACATGTCCTAATCATCTCAGACGATGTAGCTTCACAGCCTCATCGATTGATTTCCCCTCCTTTCCTAGCACTCGACCTATGCCTAACCTCAATATTGCTCACCTTATTATGCCACTTTACACGGGAAATAGAACGCAGGCACCTATGATTAAAGACAGTTAGTCTTTTCATGTCTTCCACTCTCAATGGCCAGGTCTCACAGCTGGCCATAAAGGAGGACGGAGCGGACTGATGAGCAGTACACACGCACTTTGGTCGATAGTCGGATATCACGTCTACGCCAGAGACGGCGTAAACTGGCATATGAGAAACTAGCCCTCTGTATCCGTGCTGAGATTTCGTCAGAGATCAACCCGTCGGGGCTGGCGGATGGTACTCCCCAAATAAGTGGAGCGGTCAACGTGCTCTACCACTTCACTCCTTATTTCTAATCTAGGAGTCAGTGTAGTCCAGTCCTGTAACATCATCTTACATTTGGCGAGAGCGAATCGCATGTCCAACATTCGTAGATTGCAGCTCAAGGTGTTCAGAAGATTCTGGATTTTTTCAGCGTCCTTGCCTAAAAGGACTATATCATCTGCATATTCTAAGTCAACGAGACTGTTATTCCGTGGTAGCAAGTCAATCCCTGAGTCGCTGAAGTCAGTTAGGGTTAAGTCTATTAGTACATCTATGATGAAATTGAATAGAAATGAGGATAATGAACATCCATGACGGACACCACTAGTCGTCACCACTTCAGATGGCAACTCGCCGTAAGCCCTCACCTAGCTTCACACAAATTCGAAGAGGTACATGCAAAAACCAACTAACTACCAGAGGAAGCAGCGAAGACAGCACTTCAAGTCAACTTAGAGAAAGCGGAAGTGATGCAGATAACCAACTAACCAACCAACAACAATCACCAACCATTATCAATGGAAGAAATTCATAAGAGGCCACTTTCTTCGCTCATCTAGTTAGCATCATCTCAACTACAGGCAGTTGGCATATATGAGGATGTCAAAACCATAATCGAAAATGCAACATAGTCCTCCATTCCGCTCAAATCACTTTAGAAATCCTCTGCATTCACCATCAACAACAAAATTCGGATTTTCAACACCAATGTTATGTCAGTCGGTGAGTTCTACTATATGGGTGAAGAACTTGGCCAACTCATAACAAAAAGCGTTTCCGACAAGCGGAAAACTTCTATCAACAACCACTTCCACTCCATATTGAAGATCAAATGGCCAACCAGAAAGTATTACAAACAGAGAACTCTGGGAACAAACAGACCAAGAAACCATTGACCAACAAATATTACAGAGGAAATGAAGATGAATTAGATTAAACAAAGAGGAGACCATTGAGTGACATCGCGTAAAAGGTCATTACTCGAATGTAACACGAATGGGAAACGACAAGTTGGGCGTTGGTCCGAGAGTGACATGAAGGAGACCGTATGGAGAGGAGAAGAGAGCTTTATATTGACAATCATGTGGCCAGATGAAGAGGATTACAGAGAAGAGGACAAAATACAGTTGTGCTGTTGCAGCCCAATATTCCACTCAATGCCGAAGGGAATTATAATAATAATTTCAGAATGGTTATTGGTTATTTAAGATAAAATAAATTTTTAAAAATCATTCCGTCTTGAAAATGTCTTAGCCATTATCTCAGAAGATAATAAAGCACTAATTAGATGGATGATGGGGTCATATCCGCTAATAATATGATGTGATAACACGTATACAAGAAATAAACACGTAGACATCGGTTTAGACAAGCATTACTCACAGAGACCCGTTCTAAGAGGTTAAAACAACTAAAAATAACATTCAATTTGCATCTGATCAAAAACCATTTTTGATTGAAGTCAATTCACTGTCTTTTGTATTTCGTTATAAAAAGAAGTTTAGATTGGTTAGTCACTACGAGTGGGAACCATTGGTCATATGTTTCAACCTTAGTGCTGGATGAATGTTTGGTTACAGGATTTCATCATGAGCTGACATCCTTAAAAGAAGAACCATTGGAAAAACCTGGGAGTACTGGACAGCTCTTTCGTCCTAGTTTGGGACTCTTCACAGTACTCACCCCAACAGGAGGTTCGAGCCCAGAACATTCCGGTTACAAGGCGAGCTCGTAGACCACTAAGCCACTGGGACCCGATCCAATGGCCAGACCATGAATTCTAACTTCTGCCAATTCACGACATAGTGCGACCACTAGCCAATGTCTTCGGTGAGTATTTTTCCTCACACTCGACCTGCTGCACCCTACTGGTCACGACTTCCAACTAGAACCCCAGGTAACTACCTACCTGAATAGGGCCAGTTGCCACTGAGCATCTCATTGATATTCAAGTATTGGTTTGTAGGGATTTGATTGATTGGTTACAGGATTTCATCATGTGCTGACATTAGTT